CCTCGAAAAAGAGATTTCAATCTCAATGGACTTCCTGGTTAAATAAATGTTAAATAAAATAAAATAAACCTCCAAAAAACCAGCTATGAGTACCGCAGCACGAGGTGTGTGGCTATTGATGGCAATGGCCTTATGCTGCGTTGCTGATGGGGGAGTGGCGGCATAGTGGTTAGGGCATAGAGCTTGGAATCCTGAGGTTCTGAGTTCGAGTCCCACTCCCACAGACTGCCACTCTGGGTCCCTGAGCAAAAACCCTTAACCCCACACTGCTCCCCTGACGCCGCATGATGGCAACCCACTGCTCCCCAAGGGGATGGGTTAAAGGCAAAGATTGGGTTTCTTTGCTCTGTACTTGTGATGGTGCAATGACAATAAAAAGATGAAACAAAACAAAAAAAGAAGAAAAAAAAGTAAAGATGTTTATCTAAACGAGAGAACGAGACCAGATACAGACACCGAGGTGGAAGGCACAGTAACCTCGAAGCCTGGTTTTCTGGCCAGAGCCATAGGAGAAGATGACAGACCTCTCAATCATCTTAAACATTTAGATGAGCTTCTATCATGTTTTCCTTTACTTGCTTTTATTGTTCTTTTATCTAACATCTGCTTGTTAAATGAGGAAGTTATGTCCCCTTCCGGTTCTTTTCCTGGGAGCAAGTTATTTACTACTCTTAACTCAAACTGGGTAAAACCATATAAAAAGAACTATAAAAACAGGAGTAAAAAGTAACAGAGGTTATTCCAGGTCGTTATTGTTTAATTGTATTGGGACAATACAAATAAACTTGCCCTACAATCACAAGGACTTAGAGGAGGATATAATAAGGTAAAAATGTTACTTAGTTTTGCTCTGGTCTGGGGATTGAGCTAAAGGCTGGATGCAATTAGCTGGTTTTCCTAACTCTAACTGGTTTTAGATAGAAAACTGAACTAATCTGTATGATTCTGTTGAATTGTCTCTAAAATGCCTTGAGATGACATTTGTTGTGAATTGGGGCTTATATAAATAACCTACATTAAAAGTTGAACGTATTATGTCCTAAATAAATGGCTTCAAAGGCTTTAGCATCACACCTCCAGTGTTTTCTCTTAACTATAGCTTTATAAAAAGCCCAAACAGCAGCAGAATTTGATTATTAGTTTGAACCCCAGTCGGCCTCAGCAGATGGCCGCTCACACTGAGCCTGGTTCTGCTGGAGGTTAAAAGGGAGTTTTTCCTCTCCACTGTCGCTACAAGCATGCTTAGTGTGAGGGATTGTATTTGAGTCAATG